CCCATTCTTCCCCCCAGCCCCCAAAGAAGACTTCTAGAACAGACTTTTGGTTTTGTGTTTTTAATAAGTTCGTAAAAGCCAAGGATTTATAAAAGCACATGCAAGTCCATTTACATTAACAGATAAGTGAGAAGCTGCAAACTTTCCTTAGTACAGGAACTGTGTCTTTAAGATTGGAAGTAGTAAATAAAACAGGACACCACCCCTGGCAGCTAAGGTAACACCAACAGCTTTGCTGAGAGCTGAATTCCTGGTTAGTTTCTGGGGCACAGGGATGCGTGGGGGCATGACACCCAAACCCAATTAAAATTTCTATAGCTTTGGAGAGAACTGCCAAATTGGTTTGTTTTTACTCTTTTACTGATCCATTTTAAGTCATATGAACAGATCTACAATTTTTGAAGCGTTTTGCAATTGCAGCCTCGATTCTTGGTTTCATCTTTCTCTTGAAAGAGGGAATGTAAGTGAATATAAATGGGATCAGAAAAAGAGATGTCAAGAAAAGGTGCAACAGTCCCACCTTCAAATGCCATGAGGAAAACAAACAGATTCTTGGACTGTCTGCCCTCTCCAACTCCAGTTTGTGAAAAGCCAACTGACCAGTTATTGAAACAGTGAGGCACCACTTTTTGCAAATCTGTACAGATCCTTTAGCACTGAGCAGAACAAGAGAAAAAGTCAATGGAAGTATCTTAAAGACTTTCTTTATGAGAACAAAGTAACAGTTTGTATTCTTGCTTCACCATTCATCTTGCAACATTTGTACTTTCACTTGAAGTAAACAAGATACTTTCACACTGAACAAAAACCTAAAATAGCCCAGCTTTCCCTTTTCTCAATAGCTTATGGATAGGAAGGGCATCAGGCATATTTAACTGTTCCTAGTTTAAGATATACAGTAATTCAATGTTGCTGCAAGAATGTGGTTATCTTCTGAAAATCTATAAATTTTTTTGCCCCCTTAAGATTTCCTTCTGTAGGACACTAGCACCTTGAAGACAGAGCCAATGTAGTGCTTGGGTTTGCTACAAATAATCCAATCGTTCCTTCCTTGGAAGGAAATGGGTATTAGAAGTTGTCTGACCGTCAGGAAGACTGTCATTTTCCCTATCTGCAGAAGACATGACCTGTAACTTCAGTATATGGTCCAGTTATGTCTCTGATGAAAAGTGATTATGTTAAGTAAAATACAGTGAAACCATTCCCCCTCTGATCAGCTAACACCTCAGCCTTTGTCAAGGTATAAAATTTTAAGTGCTAACAGGGAACTGGAAAGATTTTGGCATAATTTACAGTGAGACCCAGGAACATTTAATGGAATTTCAATTATCGGTCCACAACCTGTGACAAACATAACAGTTACTGTCACCTCAGTGGTAAGAAATATTGTACCAAGCAATTGCCAGTGGTGTATGGGACTGTAACCAAATTGATGACTATGGTGTAAATGGTTTTTCCATAATATAATAAGTTTCCCATAATTATCAACTGTCAGTCATCTCAATATCCTGCCAAGCTTTCAATTTTTTGTGATTACACCTCTGTGGCAGTAGAACTATTTCCCAAGTTAACTAGTGATATAAGTTACACTGCATATGCTGGATGCTGGAAAGCACCAACACTGGAACAGAATTCTCACCACTGATGGAAGTGGCAGACAACGATTTTGATGCAACAAGTGAATCTCTCATGCCAACCACTATCTCTTTTTTTTTTTTTTTTGATGGTGTGCCCCATGACCATTCAAGTAACGTACAGGAAATCAAGAAAGTTGTTCTTGGAATTTCACAGAAATCAAACAGAAGTCTTACAACCCACGGCAACATCCATGGTTCTTATTGCAATAAAAAGTTAGTGTGTAATCTTCATCCCATTTATATTAAGATTTCTTTTAAAGAAAAGGTGCTGATATTTTGTATTGTTTCATCTATGAGGTAGATGGTACTTTCATATAAATATTGTAAATAAGAAATTAAGTTAGCTCTGAGCCTGCAACAAGCGCGCTGCACCACTGAGTGCTCAAGTCAATTGTTAAATCACGAATATGAAATAATTCCTCATTTTAAGAGATGAACAGTAAGTCTTTGAAAGGAGAGTGGTGGCCGAGCACACAGACAGGTGCCTTCCCTTGACAAAGGTCAGTGGAATTCTGGCTTTAGCCTCCAGACACCTTCACCGTTTGGGCTTCTATGGAAGGTGCAGAGATTGCGGAGAAGTTCTCTAAAGACGCAGGACTGTGCCACAGGCAGTTTGGACTCAAATTCCTGCAGTATTTCCTGAGTGCTAGCCTCACCATCCACGCGGGCCTGGAACGCTATGAAGTTACGCACATCCACGAGCAGTTCATCGTATTCTGTTGAAGCCAGGGCTGGGGCGGGTGCTTGCTGATGATTTTCATCTCCCTCGTCCCCTGTCCGTTGTGGTAAAATAAGGTGGTTTCTTGCCCTCATCTTAGCTAATAAAGAGGAAGAGTCTAGTGCACTGGACGATGATTCTCCAGATTTTCCATCAAAGTGCCCATTGGAACTACACTTCTTTACATTTTCTTTCTTTATTGTATCTGCATCCTGCAAATAAACATACAGACTATGGAGAAAGTTGGATTTTGAGATCCACAGAATCTGTTGAACAAGATCTGGCTGCTGTTTAGACTTAAACAACAAACACGAACACTCAGAAGCTAGTAATCCGAAATACACGACAAAGAGGTTATGTGTTCTGGTCTCAACTTTAGAATTTAGGAAACTAAAGAAAAGCATTGCTGGTCTTGAGACAGATAACCAGACCATGTTGCAATTTGTGACTGCTCTATCTAATTAGACTTCATCAAGATGCTGTATCAAAACATGAAAAATTGAATTAATGGGTGACTAGAAATTCTAGAATTCTACATAATCATACGACAAATGGGTATGAGACACATCTACAGTATAAATCAGATTTGTTGTGTAAATCAGAACATTTCACATACATCAGCTATTAAAAGGGAAAATGTTAGCTTCTGCCTCTTACCTTGCACTTCTTTGCAGGTGGTGCGCAAGTGGAATGTGAAGAAAGCAGCATGGAGTTTCTTTTTTGACCAAACCGACTCCTAAAAACCCACAGAAGAATTAACTCCATAAAACATCCTTCTCAAAATGATTAGGATAGTTTTGCAAAACACACTGACTGGGTTTGCATTTTAGGGT